GGGGGATGCTATAGGACATAAGCATAGCTGAGGAAGGTGACTGTGAGGCACTGTGGCAGAGTAAGTTGAAATGGGACTTGAGTACTGCCACCTAGTGGTCTGTGATGCTCTCACAGGTCCTGGACCTGGTCATCCCTCTACCCTGCTTAGTAAGAACAATGCTAATGTGAAATATTAACACTGACAGCCTATTATGTACCACACACAAATGTAATTGTTCTGCATGTACTCAACACCACCATGAGTGTCCCTGAAGCCCCCTTTCATAGTTGTATTAACTGAAGTTAAGAAGTCAGCTTAAGCAGTGGAAAAGGTATTTGAACACAGACATTCAGAGCTCTTACTACTCCTTTATAATCTTTCTCTCCATGAAAGGTGCAGAACATAATTGTTGACAAATTAATGAACCCTGAACACCTCATTAGTATTACTGATACGTATTACTGTGATAGTATTTAACCACCACTTGAGACACTGTTTGACCACAGAAATCACACCTGAGAGATCAAGTTGGATTTTCAATATCTCCTGTGACAGCCACACCATTTCACTTAGCACAAGCACTGTGAGGTTGTACTATCTTTGTTAGATTAGCAGTGTGAAGGCAGAGGCCCAATCTCTCTTGACCATTCCATGCAACCCAGAACCTAGCACTGCACCTGGAATAAAAGAGTAATTAATATTATTTGAATTTCAAATTATATTTGGATTTGAGCTTATACTTGGAGTTGATGATGGCATTGGAATGTGGAAATAAATATGCTAATGTATATAATAGCTAATGTTAAAAAACATTGTGATAGTATTATTCTTACTATTATTATTATTATTATATAGTATTATTCTTACTAAGGTCCACCCTATCTCCCCGAACACACACACACACACACACACACACACACACACACACACGCAAAATTATATCTCAGGCAAAACTGTACTTGGAATACGCAATCCTCTTGAAGAAGAGTTTCAACCTTATAAAGGCATAAAATTAGTAACTGTCACAAAATGGAAAGTCTATGAGGCCTTTAACTGGTATATGGACAAATTGTTGTATATGCATACAATGGCATA